AGTGTGGAAAGCCTCGTACTGGTCTTTATGGATGCTCTGGATTCAACACTAGAAATTATTTAAGCACTAGAAATAATCAGAGGGTCACTGTAAGTTTTGGATCATTTTAAATTCACTTCTCTCTTTTCCATCTGGGGGTTCAGTGACCCCCCCACCTTTGAAAGGTCGCAGAGGTTTGTTTTTAGAGGCAGGTCCTGGCAGTGCTGGCATTGGCCAAGGCGCCTTTGCTTGGTCTGCCGCCAGTTCCAAATTTAAACCAGGTCTGTCCTGTGGGAAGCCCAGAGGGAGACACCATCTGACAGAGTCACTGGCAAGCGAGTTCTTTTCAAAGGTAGGATATTGCACTTTCTTCAGACTAAAGTCAGTAGCTAATGAAGCTCAAGAGCTGCTGTGCTTCTGGACAAGGGCTTCCTTAGAAGAAAATGGGTTGGTTTTTTTTCCTTCCTTTTATCCCCCCCCCACCTTTTAAATGACACCTTTTGATTTCTGAAAATAGCCTCCCAGTTGCTGCTATTTGTCATGGAAAGGACAATGTGATTCTAGGTGGCTGAACCTAAAGGAGAATAGGGGTTGTTTGGGGAAACTATTCTGCTTTTAGATTCTTTAGGACTTGATCTCCTCTTTGCTGCCTTTAGTGCACCCTTGACCTTCTTAACTGAGCTCCTTGTTCCTTCAGAAATCCTTGTCCTGCCTTTTATGGGATAACATCCAGTTTTTACTTTAGGGGAAAGTTGTTTTTTTTTAACTGGATATATGTGATTTATTTTATGTTAAGCCTTTCCAAAAGTTTTCAATCACCTGTATTTGCTTATATTTTCATATTCTCATTTCTGCTCTGCTAATAACCTGCATGTTTTTGGGATGGAGAACTGAGAATTACGGGACTTTAGCTGAACCAGTTATGAGCAGTGGCTTATCTCCTGCCATGACCTGGTGTCATGCACGTTACCTGTTAAGAATTAATAACAGTTTTTCTCAGCATGAATACCCAAAGTTTTGAACAAAGGTGATAGTGGGGTTGGAGACCTTTGAGCAAGAGATCTGAGGATACCCACTTCATCTCGAATTAGGTGTGGAAACCAATGCTTTTAATGTGAAATGGTGTTATCTGCCCTGGGATGTCTTTATCCACTTCAAAGTGTTCCCCAACTTCAGTTCAAGTTTATTATTTTTATCTTCTTCTCCCAGCAGCTTAGCATTTTTGATGTGAATCAAGTCTTTTTTATCTATGATCCATCTCATTCTCCTTCAGATTGCAGCAGGTTTTTTTTTACCTCTGGCTTTTGCAGCAAATAACCCCAGTACTGAACAGAATATAACTTCTCCTTCAGGTTGCAGCAATTCTTCCCTTTGGGCCTTTCCACCAAATAACCCTGAAAACTGAAGAGAACGTAAGTGCCACCCTGTTGTGCCAGTAGCCAGCACTGGGCTCCGTAAGGTGGACACTGTTGAACATGCTGCAGTGTGGCTCTATGGCTTGAGCTGATTTCCATGTTCTCTTGTTCCACTGATACTTATTTCATCAATGATTTTTAAAAGCATGTTCAATATGACAAGCTAAAATAAGGACTCATGGATTTGTAATATGAAATCAAAGAAAAACTTGTTAGAGACCTTCTAGTGGCCTTCCAGTACAGAAGGGGCTCCAGGAAGGGTGGGGAGAGACTTTGGACAAGGGCAGGGAGTGACAGAACAAGGGGGGATGGAGCTGAGATGTGAGGAAGAAATTCTTCACTGTGAGGGTGGTGAGACACTGGCCCAGGTTGCCCAGAGAAGCTGTGGCTGCTCCTCCCTGGAAGTGTTCAAGGCCAGGTTGGATGAGGCTTTGAGCAACCTGGTCTAGTGGAAGGTGTCCCTGCTGGTGGCAGGGTTGTTGGGCCTGGATGAGCTTTAAGGTCCCTTCCACCCCAAAGCAGCCTGTGATTCTGTGATTTGGTTATGCTGTAGGTCTGAAGTGCTTACAGGAATTGTGTCTTCTTTCCAAAATCACTTGGTTCAACTCGGTTCTCCTCTCTCTCAAGCCTGATTGAACTGAGATTTTTTTCCACTGGGGGCTCTTTTTAAGGGGCCATTTGAGTACCTTCCTTGGAAGAAGGTACTGCAGCTGTAGGCCCTAATAAAAAAGGATCAACATCTCCAATCAGCTGGTCCTTCTCTCTCCTGCTCCCCTCCTTCATCCAGTCTCTCTCTTCCCCATCCCATATTTCCCCTTCCCATATATCAGAGGGAGTTACCTGTTGATTCAGACTCTTGCCAGGAAGCTGCACAAGTGGGTTGCTGCTGCTGACTGGCTTCACAGCTTGCTGCAGCCTTCAGGCAGAGACTGGGTCATCTGCCCAGTTCCTGGATATAATATGAAGAAGAAAAGAAAAAAAAAAGAGAGAGAGAGAAAGAAAACCAATAAAAGATTTGGAAGGATTTTTGAAATGAAAAGAGATTAGAGGAAGACCTTCTTTGCTTAGAAAGTAAATGAATAATAATTGCTGTGATTAAGGAATAAGTTAACCAGGCATAACTGATGCTGTCTGACCAAACCATGGTTTTTAGTTGGTAGGCTTGGGGGCTCTTTTCCACCAGCCCCTGTGGCAGAGAATTCAATCCTTGCAAAGTCAACCTTTATTTTTGCCAAAGAATGCTGAAGAACCACAGTGTAATCAAACAGGGGACTCCCTCCCATCTCCTAGTGAGGTTTAGTTAGAAAAAGTGTCAGCAAAGCTCCCTCTTCCTAGTTACCTTCTCGTGTGCATTTTGCTGAAATCAGAAGCAAAGCTGCTCAGGGATGGATTTATCAAATGCCTCAGCTCCAGCGAGGGCTCCTGAGGGAAGTGCCACTCCACCTGTCAGCTCCCACTTTGGAAATAATGAGAGGTCCTACACGGGAGCTGAAGATTTTTGACTCCAAAATGTCCTGTGAGCTGCTCAATGTCAGCACAGCACCTGTTTTCCCTGCCCACATCTTGTCTTCTGAATCTCAAGAGACCCCTGAGAGCAAAAAAAAAAAAGGACAACATGAAGAGGGCAACTGCTTTAAATGACTCGCTCAACATGACCCAGTAAGGAGAATCTCCCACTTCTCCAGCCTAAAGGTGGCCAGTGACCTTGTGTCTAAACAGCTCTTTCCCAGGAATTATTTTAGGGGTGATAAGTTAAATCACCTCTACCTGTCCTCTGCTGTAAATCAGGGCAAGCTCCACACTCTGTGCACACTCAGCACAAAGAGGGGAAGGAATACTGTGAGCAGCTGGGTGCTGTGCTCATGAGCTGCTTCGCAAGGGAATGAGTTTAATCCTCCTTTTGGGTTTCTGATTTCCCACTCTGGGTGCACTCCCCACGCTGCCTCACACACGGTGTTACACAGTGAAGATACATGAGTGAGCTCAGGAAGGAGAAGCTCCACAGTGTCTTGAGAAGAGTTGTGTGCTAACTCAATGGTTTTAGTTTTAGACCTTGTCAAGCTTATTTAGAGCTAACTCAGCTATCTTTGTGTTCTTGTGTTCTACCTGTGCCTCCAGAAATACGTATTTTATCCAGTTCACTACTGTTTCAGCAATTTCTACTCGAGGAATTCTGTCCAAGCCCCTGGTGAAAATCTGGAAGAGTTTGACATTTTCCACGAGCTCTGTTCCACAGCATGTAGAGCCTCTGTCAACCCCTCAGGTCCATCCTTCTACTCGAGGAATTCTGTCCAAGCCCCTGGTAAAAATCTGGAAGAGTTTGACATTTTCCACATGAGCTCTGTTCCACAGCATGTAGAGCCTCTCAGCTCCATCCAAGCTCAGTCCTACTTAATAACACTGAAATCTGGCTCAGCATTATTAGTTACCTCTTGTTTTCTGCTTCTCACGCTGCCTTTTTGTTTGAGGTAGAGTATGAGTTGTGTGGCCAGACCCTTCCAGTATCTTCCTGGTAAAGACCTGTCTTGCAGTTCCAACTGCAAGAGTTCAAACTCCATCTGCACAACAGGGGAGAGACACTAATACTTGATTTTGACTTTATGTGTGATGCAGGAGTTGTATAGACTCCAGGAAGGGGTTGTAACTGACTTTACTGTGACATCGAGTGTAAAAGCTTGGGGGTGTATATACAGTGGGAAAATTAGTGACCTTTTTTACAGCAAAAGTATCACTTACTCTTTGGCCACGTAGTAAACTGTAACATAAACTACTCCCTTGAAGGCAATGGCTTAGCAAGGAGATTAGGGCTATGCACTGGGATCAGAATCCAATTCCAGGATGAGCTGGGTCTCGTAGATCCTTTAGCTTGGGTGTCATCCACAGATTTAATTTCAGTGTATTAGTTAACACAGGTTTGTGCTGTTAAACTGCACAATTAACGATGGCATAAAAGTAAAGAGCACAAATGTAGGCTTTAGCCTACTAGATTGGACATGTGGCTCGTTTAAATTAGGTAACTTGTCTCCACTAAGGGGTGGTGAAAGACACTGGAGAGGGAAGCACAGATTTCAGTACATTAAGCAAATAATGTGCTCAGAGAAAACTCAGTCTGCATCTGCAGAAGACAGACTGGCTTATATCCATCTGGGATGTTGCACAGTACCTGGTCTCTGGCATGTAGACACTGTGGTACTGCCTGTTCTAGAGAAATCTAAGAGGTTTTAGTAGAATCAGAAGAATGCAGAGACACATCCCAGCCCTGAGGAGCTTCCACTCTAAATGCACTTTGTATGAGAGTGAATCTAGAGCAACATGGAAAAGCATGTGGGAACAGCATCTCTGAACCCAACTTTGTTACACGACAGCTGACAAGATCCAACACCAAGTGTCCTGCTGGGATGTTCAGATTAGCATTTAAAATACTTAAAATTGGGTACTGAGGTGAACATTTGAAAGTCTAAATGAAGGGATGAGGACATCTGTTGAAGATACCTCTGTGTGGGATTTGCTTTATTGGTGGTCTAAGGCAGGGTTAAGAAGAAGGATTTCCCTGGTTTTCCAGTGTCTACTAATTTTCTTGATGGTGAAATGATCTGTTTCCTTTCATCTTCTGGCTTTAGGAAGACCGTTCAGAAAGGAAAACTCATGGATTTCACAAGCACAGTCATCATCCCGCTGCTGTTTGGCAGCCTGGGGATCTTTGCTGTTTTTCGGCTACTGCAGTGGATGCGGATGCGCACTTACCTCCAGGACGCAGTGGTCGTGATCACGGGGGCTACCTCTGGCCTGGGGAAAGGTAAGGACCATAAGAAGGACACCAAGGTCACTGTAGTCCCTTTTAAGAAGGACATATAGTAAAAAAATTAAGAGGCACAGGCAAATTCACTGTGAGGGTGGTCAGATACTGGAACAGGTTGGCCAGAGAAGCTGTGGCTGCTCCTCCCTGGAAGTGTTGAAGGCCAGGTTGGACGAGGCTTTGAGCAACCTGGTCTAGTGGAAGGTGTCCCTGCTGCTGGCAGGGGGGTTGGAACTGGATGAGCTTTAAGGTCCCTTCCAATCCAAACCAGTCTGGGATTCTGTGATTCTATGAAATTCAACCAGCTGATGGGGGAGGATATGCGAACAGCACAGTAACCGTGAGCACCCCAGCTGCCTCACCGCTGTCACCTGTCTGTCCAAGTCACAGGAAAATGGCATCTTGCTGTCACTTCACTGTCACTCAGGAGTAATAAAGCCACCCTAGACCCTCACCAGCTAAAAGAAGTTTTAGCCTATCATCAGGTATGATGTGGATCTGCTGTCTGTCATTCAAATGTCTACTTTTCCTTGCTTCCTCCACAGAATGTGCGAAAGCTTTCCACGCAGCTGGCTGCAAGCTGGTGCTCTGCGGCAGAGACAGCGAGAAACTCAAGGACCTGGTGCAGCAGCTTTCTACCGTGACCAACCACCGAAAGAACGTAAGTGTGGGAGAAGGACAGGCTCGTTGTCTCGTGCAGCTGGGATTTCTGTTCCTGTTATTACAGAAGCTACAGAATTGCTTGTGGGTTGGTCTGTTGAGCAATAGGAAAAATGCAACTCTGTGGTTAGGGATAGATCTTGCTATGGGAGCAGACTGAGCTGACATGTCATATCTTGTAAAAACCCTACAGAAATAAGCCAGCTGAAAGACTCCTCGCTTTGTAATGGAAGTGAAAGAATGAGAGAGCAGAGTGCTCAGACCCCTTGGCATCTGCATGTCATATGCAGATGATCCGAGGGCTGGAGCACCTCTCCTATGAGGACAGGCTGAAAGAGTTGGGGCTGTTCAGCCTGGAGAAGAGAGGGCTCCAGGGAGATCTTACAGCAGCTTCCCAGTACCTGACGGGGCTACAAGAAAGCTGGGGAGGGACTTTTCATAAGGGTAGTTAATGACAGAACAAGGGGAAATGGGTTTAAGCTGAAAGAGGGGAGGTTTAGATTAGATATTAGGAAGAAGTTCTTCACTGTGAGGGTGGTCAGACACTGGAACAGGTTGCCCAAGGAAGTTGTGGCTGCTCCTCCCTGGAAGTGTTGAAGGCCAGGTTGGATGAGGCTTTGAGCAACCTGGTCTAGTGGAAGGTGTCCCTGCTGCTGGCAGGGGGGTTGGGACTGGATGAGCTTTAAGGTCCCTTCCAACCCAAACCATTCTATATATTGAATCTGGAAAAGTGATTTTCCTTGTGTTGGCTTTTATTTTTGATGTCTAGTTCTGCTGACAGTGGCTAAGAAAGGGATTGCTGGCTTCTGAAGAAGACACATGGGTTAAATTTGTTACTATTTCAGAGGCATTTTCCTTAATAAGACAACAGCAAACTTTTCATACTTGAGGAAGATCTCACTTGCCCCTTTCCTAGGCTCTGGTATAAGGAACAGGCTACAGGAACAGTAAAGATGAGAGCACAACCTGCTTCTGTTGTGGAAAATGGAACTGCTGCACTGTAATTGCACAAGGTTTTGAGGGCCCTTCTGGGCTTCCAGAGCTGGGCAATCCTACAGCTCCTTTAAGTCATGAGCATGAACATCCAAGCACATTCAGCACAGCCTGAACTTGTCTTTTGCCAACTTTTGTTTATTCACAGACACACAAACCTCACACTGTGGTATTTGACCTCTCAGACACTAAAACTGTCCTAAATGCTGCTGAAGAGATCCTGAAGTACTTGGGTCATGTGGACATACTGATCAACAATGCAGGCATTAGCTTCCGAGGGACTGTTGTGGACACGGGACTGGACGTGGACAAGAAAGTGATGGAAACAAATTATTTTGGTCCTATAGCCCTCACCAAAGGTACCACGATCTGGATTACAGGGGGGGAGTGGATTAATTGATACCTTCTGGAGGCCAACACAACTAAGCACAGCTGAACTTTGGTTTGTAATTGTATTTGGTACAGTACAGTGTAAGAGGGGAGGAAAGTTTTGGTTTATGGGCAGATTTAAAGTTGATGCTTGGAGATGAAGTACCTGATTAGAGATAACACCTTGTTTAAAACACTCCCTGACTCTAGTCTGGCAGGAATTTTTGAAAAGAGATACAGTTAGCCTGTCTGCACTGCTAAAACCCTAGAGAACACGGTGTGGGTTCTAGGTGAAGCTGGAGAGTTCCTAGGAAACTTCTTGGGTTACACAGAAAGTTCAGCCTGGAGGGTGTCAGCTGCAGGAAATAGAAAGATGTCCTGGTGGCAGAAAGGAGCGAGTCCTGCTGACCATGCCTGTGGGAGATCACAGCAACTCTCACAGCCTTCGTGCAGCCTCACTGGCACCAGGAGCCTCCCAAGGGGTGACCCAGGCAGACTGCAGCTCCAGTTAGAGGCATCCTAAGCACTATCCCTTGCCCAACCCCTACACTGAACAAGGGCCTAGTAACTCACTTAGACATCTGTGAACACTCTGAACGCATCGATTCTTGACAGCAGGACTGTTACTCTGAATGAGTCTTTTCTGTCTCTCACCAGCGCTTCTCCCCTCCATGATCAAGAGGAGACAAGGCCACATTGTGGCCATCAGCAGCGTTCAAGGCAAAATAAGCATTCCCTTCAGATCTGCATGTAAGTACCTCCACGGGAGATGGAGAGACATATCTGGGGCTCTGGCATGAGTGAAGACTTGGCTACTGCTTCCACATTTAGCTCTCCATAGAGCTGGCTGTGCGCAGGGAAGGCAGAGCTGTGCATCATTGTCACTGTGGCCACAAATCACTGGCAGCTGAGGAAGGTGCTCTCATATAGACTCACAGCCCTGTCCTGAAGTTGTTAAGGGATGGAGAAGGAGAACATGTTTTCAGCGTCTTGAAAACAGCTTGATATTCCTATCTTAACACTTGAGAGTCCCTATAAACTTTCTGATTAACTCTGTAATTTTATTGCACTTTATCTTTGCTGTTTGCCTGGTTAATCTCCTACAAGAAAGTAGGAATTTTTTGTTTTACTAAGTTGTGAAGTGCAGTAGTACAACCAACACCAATATAAAAACCTCAACTGTTATGTTGATGCAGCAAACTTCATGCTAAATCAGTTCTGACAAGAAATAATATTGGTGAGATTACAGGAAAAAGCCTTTTAAAAGATGGAGGAACTAAAAGGAGAGCGTTTGGCATAGAACCATCAATGGAAAAGTACAGTGGGGATGGCAGAAGAGTGGTGGGGCATGATGCTGAGCGAAGGAGAGCCTGGAACATCTGCGCCATCTGGTCTAGCAGACGATGTGGGTACGATGGCACCAAGAAGTGTGTTCTGAAGAGCTTCCAGAGCACTTGCACTGTGACCAGAGCTGTGTGGGCCTGGCAGCACGGAGTTCAGCTCTTGTCTAAGTCCTGAGGCAGGGTCTGCAGCCTGGGCTAAGCTCCGTGCTGCTGTGCCAACCCTGCAGCCAGGCTGAGGTGATGGCAGTCACAGCGCTGGTGACCACGGAACACGAGTGAGCAAAGGGAGTTGCTCAGCCATCTAACAGAGGAAATCCTGCCCTAGGCCACACTTCTCTACTCCTGTCCGCTGTGTGATCGGGCTGTGTCTTGTGTGCAGCCATGCTCTGAACCTGCTCTGCAAGCCCCCAGCACACGTAGGGCAGCTGGGTGCTCGGCAGTGAATGTCAGCTCTGCCCCCCTCTGCTGCCATCGTGCTCCCCAGCCCCAGCCTGGCTTGTCAGATGCTCCCCAAGCCAGGCTGCGTGTCTCCACGAGTGGGAGGGCCTGGGTTCATGCTGTAGTGCTTTGGCAGGGCTGTGATATTAAGCTCAGGATCCCAGCCAGTTTCCAACTTGAGTATTTACATTTTGCCTCCTAAACTGACTCCCACTCCTACTACCTGTTGCTGCCATTCACTTAAAAAAACTCAACAAAAACAAACAAAAAAACCCCAATAAAAAAACCACCAAAACGCAACAACCCAAACCTAGAAGCTGTAGAACAGCTGCTGGGTTTGTGCTGAGAAAGGGCTGCACTGCAGTGAAAAACCCAGTCAGGGGAGTGAATTTTCCTTCAGCCCCACTCCTTCTCCTTAGTGCACGGTCTTTTTCCTGTTTTCCAGATGCTGCCTCTAAGCACGCCACCCAGGCCTTCTTTGACTGCCTACGAGCCGAGGTAGAGCAGTATGACATTGATGTGACAGTTGTGAGCCCCGGCTACATTCACACAAACCTCTCTCTCAACGCCATAACAGCTGATGGAACTCGCTATGGAGGTGAGATGGGATTTTGTGCTCCTCATTTAAAGCATCTCCACCTCACTGAGTCACTCCTAAGTGTGCCTGCAACCTACAGCCTCTGCTGGGGACACAGGTTATCCCTGAAACATCAAAAGACAACTTTGGATGCAGGGTAGGAAGAGTAACCCCCAAAATTCAGCTTCCCTAGACAGTCTTCTAGCGCGACTCTTCTCAGTGATGCCTAATGGTAGGACAAGGGGCAATGGGTGTGAGCTGGAACACAGGAGGTTCTGCTTCAACTTGAGAAGAAACTTCTTTCCAGTGAGGGTGCCAGAGCCCTGGGACAGGCTGCCCAGGGAGGGTGTGGAGTCTCCTTCTCTGGAGACATTCAAAACCCGCCTGGACACCTTCCTGTGTGATCTCATTTAGGTTCCTGCTCTGGCAGGGGGGTTGGACTGGATGATCTTTCGAGGGCCCTTCCAATCCCTGACATTCTGTGATTCTGTGACCATGAATTATACCTGCCTGTTCCTCCATACACTGGTGTAAAAACCAAAACCAGACAAAAGCAGCCAGGTACACTTAGAGCAGAACATTCCCATTAAGCGTGTGCTTACCTGCTGGCATTGGTGCTTACTCAGCTTTCCTTTGGCAGTTATGGACAAGAACACCGCCGAAGGACAGACGGCCGCAGAGGTCGCGCAGGTGGTTCTCAATGCAGTGGGACAGAAGAAGAAGGAAGTGCTCGTAGCTGGCCTAGCACCTTCCCTGGCTGTCTACCTGCGAAACCTCTTCCCCAGGGTCTTCTTCACCTTAATGGCAACTAGAGCAAAAAAGGAGAGAAAAGCAAAGGAGTCTTAGAGCTCAGCTCATTGGAGCAGTAACTGTAGGGAGAGGCCAACCCCCTGCAGTTGGGCTGGGACATCAGCAGAGGTGCTCCTGCAGCAAAAACCTTTCTCAAAACGCTGCAGTTGACCATTGCATGGAGAGTGGGAAGTGGTTTCCCCCACATCGGGGCAGGCCCACTTGCTGGATGACAGCACCTAAACCTCACTGAAGAAGGTGCTTGGACAGAGGGGGAGAGCTGAGGCTGCAGGGGAGGGTGACTCCCAGGAACACACTTTGCAGCAGGGGAGGCCCATGTGCTGGAAGACAGCACCTTCCCTCACCTCGCTCCAGGTGTGCTCAGCTTTCCTGGCCTGCTACAAATAAAACCCACCTGTTGTACCTTCACACCAGCTGATATTTGCTTTCCTCCCTCCCCATGGCCCCTCTGAAATACAGTCCTCAGCTGGGAGCTCTGCTGATCAGTGTCTCCTTCCTGCTCCTTCCAATCTGATCTAGATGTTGCTTGAAGTGGAGAACAGAGCCTCTGCTTATTAACGTACCAAACCATCTGCTATGTTAAGCTAAAAATCAAGTCCAGTGTCACTTTTAAAGAAATATCTGATATAAAATGTAAGTTTCATTTAGCAATTATTTTATCTGTCTGAATCACACCTTACTGATGTACAGGGACATTTAACTCTGCCCTACCTGACAGTACAGTATTAACCCCAGCACAAGTTAATGCAGGGGAAGCACTGAAGAGATAAATATCCCAGCAAGGTGGGCTGCTGCGTGTGAATCCTGCACAGCGACAGCCCCTCACCTGGGCCAGCTACCAGCCCAGAGCACAGGGGAGGTGAGTGTGCAGACGCCAGGAACACGGTCTCCTGGCAAGCAGAGGACAATCTGTGCATGTAGAGTGGACAGTGGAGGAGACAGACCCTTAGTTCTCATCTGTTCTAAAGCCATCACAGATGCTAATTAGGATCATCTGTTCTAAAGCAATCACAGATACTAATTAGGATCACATCCAGTGAGGGAATGATACCTGCCTGTTCAGACATCACAGGCTTCAGGGAGCGCGACAGCCGGAGGGAATGTCCTGTTCCATTCTGCACCCTGTCTCCTCATGTTGTGAGGGATCCCAGCACCACTGGGAAAAAGGAGTGGCTGCACAGAGACAGTTCAAGGACAGAAATAACCTTTTTTAACTTGAAATAACCAAGGTCCAGGCCCCTGCTGCCACCTCCGTGCACTTACCAGCATTCTCCACGCGTACTGCCTCGTACGTCCCGCCCGTGAGTGCACATCCAAAGACAAATAAATTACATTGCTATGAAATTCATCCTTTGTTCTACTTCAGCTCCTCACAGCAGGTGACATCAGAGGAAGGGAAAGCAGGAGGGGTTTGTTTTTCTTTCATACATTCCTGGAAGGTGCTGTTGTACCAGTAGTAGTTGCAGAACAATGTGCTTCATCCCAGCCCTCTTCACATCATCTGCTAGTTCACAGCAGACATAGTGTGAGTCCACACAGAGGATTAGTCACCGTAAAACTCTGATCCAGGCATGTGGGCTCAGCAGGAACTTCTTCAAAAAACCTTTTCTTGCCCACTAGAGATTTATAAATGATTTCTGAGAATCCATCCCAGATGGTGACCAGGACGTGGTCAGTGATCACAGTGCTGCTCCTCAGGACATCCTCTACCATTTTCACTGTGGCTGAGGTTGCACATTAGTTACGTAGAGGCTTAGGGTTGAAGTTACAAGCTGAAGCTTTCACCTGTACGTATCTTTTTTCCTGTTAAGTTAGAAAAGCAAGGCTTTACCTTCTCTCCCTTTCCACACAGGGTGTATCTGTGAGGGTTAGTTGTACTTTTCACATTTTGCATGTTCAAATCCTCTATTTCTTGGCAAAATACCGTACTCCTGCCAGTCGTGTCCAGCTGCTCCGTGTTGTGGTGTTTCAGGTCATGGCTTCACAGGAAGGAGCGAGGGGCTGCTTTGCATTTCTGTGTGACCATCCAGGGTGCTGAGGGTGCGACGCATCAGGCCTGAGGAAAAAAAATAAATGATGTGTGGGGAGTTACTGTAGTTACTGTCTGAACTACAGCTCCAAATCAGAGGTTACCGAGAGCGTGCACATCCCCCTTGGAAAAATTCCCTCTGTGTGACAAGAGGAATGTCCCACATTCCATGTCAGAGCAGCTCCATGAGGTCAGGATGGGCAGCAAAGCGTGTGGTGCTTTAGAAGGGGAGGTTTGTCCCCAGCCCCTGTAACCCACAGCTGCCCCACGGGGGGAGGCAGATACAGCAACTATCTCACGTGTCGCTGAAACATGACCCTCCAGAGCCCACTCACTCGCCCAGGTCACCCTGCACAGTCAGAGCACTGCACAGCCAGGATGTCACCAAGCATTTTAGCTCGATGATCACTGATATTTCTTGGAAAACCAGCCCCCCCACGCCTCATCCATGTCCTCTCCACCTCAGAATGGAGCGAAGGATGCGTTTTTAAAACAGACCTACCTGTTGTGACAGCTAAGCTGCCTTGTCACCTCTTCTCCTGCAAAAAGAGACCACAGGAAACTTGCTCATTTCTAACTCCAGACTCCTTGATGTCAGACATATGTTTAGGGAGCCCACCAAGGGTTAGTCCTTCTGCCAGCATCATTATTCCAGGCAAGGGAAAGCTTAACACAAAAACAGTGCCCAGGACCACAGAGATTTGGTGAAAAAAAAGGAACTAACAGCCCTGAAATTATTGTGCATTGATTAAAAAAAAGAGCAG